GCCTTGGATCTTTTCATTGCAATCTGGTCCTCTCTTGGCAGAGATTTCATTTTGCGAGGCAAACTGCTGCCGTATTCGATAGGCAACAATAAACTACAGAAGAATTCAAAATTGATTGCATTAATATTTAAGCTTACTTTTTAAAAGTTCAACGATAATTCTTCTGCCCCCACTTAATTTAAAGATAATTTGATGTACGAAGGTCCTTACTTTACGCACAAACAATTATTTTTATTTCATTTCGCTGGATTTCGCAATTAATTTCAATTATTCCCAAATTTATTTCTAAGTTATAAAAATTGTTATGGTACAAAAAAATTTGTCACAAAATAATCACGTAAGAAAATCGCCAAAAACGTTCGCAGTAATGAAAAATTGGGAATCAAAAATTTCAGGATTGCGGGTCAGGATCCGAACCGAAATGTTTTTAATTTGCTCACGGAGTCGGCCTGATTCCAAAATGGTATGATATGTTGGGATACGGCTTCTAGGAGTAAAATTGAAAAAGTGTGACACACTGACATTCGCATTTATATATAGATTAAAATTTGATATTGATAACGTTTTGAACTTTTTACAAGCATATTTATATAAAGAGCCCTAGTAAATATCAAATGTAGATAAACGATAGAAAACTTTCAGAAAAGAAAATATGATATTTTTAAGAAAAAAAAATCACTTCCGATAAAAGTTTTAAACATTGTATGTACTTTATTTTCTGAATCAGTTGAAGTAAACTGCTCAAGTTATCGATCTGATTAGAGTTTCATTTCGATTTTTTTTTAATTATCATATCCTTCTCTTGTGAGGTTTGGCGAGCGCAGCGCTGATACGTAAAAATATATCCATAACGAAAAGAAAATGAATATTGTTATTTTCTAGATAAAATGAGACATTGACTCCATGTCGGAAACAGCGCCGGGGAAAATAAACACATGCATAAAGAGATGTCAATGCCAGCAACTCTTTCCTGTATCACTTGATTAAGAAAAAATAGTTCGCTCAAGACAAGAGAAGCCATAAAATAATGATGGTGATGATGATGATAATGATGTGTTAACTTGAAATGCAGATTCTGTGATAAATATCCAGAAACATTTGGTCATCTTGTATCAGGTTGTACAGCGTTAGTACCCACTGGATATAAAACTCGACCTGAGGGAATGGGTCAATATATGCACTGGAAAATATGCAGCTTTTACTGGAATGAAACTGCAAGAAACTGGTATGAACATTACCCAGACCCGGTTACAGAATTAGGACTTATGACAATTTTATGGGACTTCAGAATATCTACAGACAGAACAACCAAAGCTAATCGCCCAGACATCGTGAGCAAAGACCACAAGAACAGAATGTGCTTTCTTATTGACATGACATTCCCTGCAGATTGTAATGTATCTTTGGAGATCTTTAAAAAAAACTATCAAAATACAAGGATCTTGAAGTGGAAATCTTAAAAAAAAAGTAAAAAAATGTGGCAGATGAGGACATCAATAATTCATCAGTTGTAGTTGGAGCTTTCTAAGTGATTGGAAAACGTTCCGATAGATTCATTGATGGGATTCTTGGTAGACTATGCCTGAAAGAAATACAAAAAATCGTACTAAGATTACGAAAAGCTTTATCTATGTAAAATGTGTATGACCTTATTTTAAAAATTTTTTTTTTTTTGCAAAAAATGATCAGTGGACACGCCATGAAGCCATTTCTGACATTAGGTTTCTGGTTTGGATCCGGAAGGAAATGTGTATACAACAGAAACCAAAGGAAATAATAATAATAATAATAATAATAATAATAATAATAATAATAATAATAACAATAACAACAACTAAAATATTACAGATGACGTCCTAACAAAATAACCCTCAGAATACTAGAGAATACTAAAAAACTAGAGAAGTCGTAAAAGTATTCACTACTTTTAGTAGTCGAGATGAACCCGGTGATACTCATGCAACATACGACCATCTTGACTGACAAGCGCTTGTTGAGCAATCAAGAGTATCCAGGAATGGATCCTAATAGAGGTCGCCGTACCTTGGGGTAAGAACACCGTAATGGTGGAGCAGGTCAAAATACAGAGGGTACGAAGTCTTGGCAGAGCAAATAAGATTCATATACGAAGCAACAGCTGAATTTGTCCCCTTTTGCGATTGTCGTGTCGGCGATTATTTCCAGGAATCTTTCTGTCTCGCAGAACGCACTGAGGATGATTAACGGGAATCAATTTCTGTCTCACCGATCTAAGTTTCCTTAAAATAAAATCCATTTTTTTCTGATAGCACTGTTTGATTTACAAAATATAAAAAAGGTTTTTCTAAATTGTCTTATATATTTACCATTCCGTCGGATTCTCATCCAAATGGTATTTAGGCCAGTGATTCCAAAACCTTTTGCTTTTAGAAATGTGTTTTTAGAAATGCACCCAACAAACATCTCTAGTATCCTTTCGTGTACGAGAACAACCCCTAGTGTCCTTCCGCGAATGAGAACAAACCCTAGTGTCCTTGCACCCATTGAACAAATCCTATTGTCCTTTCACCGTTGAGAACAACACCTAGTGTCCTTTCAGGCATAAGAAAAACCTCTCATGTCTTTTCGCGCATGAGGACAAGCCTTAGTGTTCATTCGCGCCTGAGAACAACCCCCAGTGTCCTTTCGCGCCTGAGAACAACCCCCAGTGTCCTTCCACCCATAAAAACCCGACTGTTCTTTCGCCGTTAAGAACAAACAATATTTTCCATTCGTCGTTGAAAACAAACTCTGGTGTTCTTTCGCGCCTAAGAACAACCCCTAGTGTCCTTCCGCCCATAGAAAAAACCCTATTGTATTTTCGCCGTTGAGAAAAAACCCTATTGTATTTTCGCCGTTGAGAACAAACCCTAGTGTCCATTCGCGCATGAGAAAAACACCTATTGTTCTTCCATGCATGAAAACAAACCCTATTGACCTCTTGCCGTTGAGAACAACCACTAGTGTCCTTTCGCACATGAGAACAACCAATAGTATCCTTTTGCGCATGTGAACTGCCCCTAGTGCCCTTTCGCCGTTGAAAACAACCCCTATTGTCCTATGGCCGTTGAGAACAACCCTTATTGTACTTCGCACATGAGAACAACCTCTAGTGTCCTTTCGCGCGTGAGAACAACCTTTACTGTCCTTTCTCGCATGAGAACAACCCCTAGCGTTCTTTCGCGCATGAAAACGACACCTACTGTTTTTTCGCGCATGAGAACAAACGCTATTGTCCTTTCGTGGTCGAGAACAACCCCTAGTGTCCTTTCGCGCATGAGGACAACACCTAGCGTCCTTTCGTCGTTCAGAAAACCCCTAGTGTATTTTGGCGCATGAAAACAACCCCTAGTGTCCTTTCGCGCACGAGAACAATCTGCCCTTAGTTTAAATAAAGGTACAATTTCGAAATTCCCTGAAAATTACCCAGATCGTACAGACACCTGAAGAAAGCCGGAGAACACAAATGCCGAAAGGTTATGATCGTAAAAACAAAGCTGAAGATATTAGTACGACTTTAAATAACTGTAAACCAATGTATGTACTTCACAAATACAGTAACCTAGGAAAACAATTTATTTAGTAATATTACAGGATAAATGTACATCTTAACTGGAGTTACATTGTATTCACTTTTTTAATGTGATGGGTGTATTTGGTGCAGGGATGTCGGCTTCTCGAAATCAGTGACAAGTCTTTGATCTTCGCGTTGAGGAATTTTCAGTTAGTTTCTTTGTTCAGAAATAAAATGGACAGCTACATTCTCGCTTCTCGATACAGCCCTCTTTCTACTTGACATAAATGATCTGCTTCTGAGTACATTCCGATCATTTGTGCATATCTGTGCTGGTGATACATCGGTATTTAGACTATGAAATTTAATTTTTTTATGCTAATTATTTAATGCCAAAATGTGTTGATGTCGGCAAAAAAAAACCGTTAACTCATGTCTATGGTTTAATAAATTTTCATTATTTAGGAACTTAATAATGTGTAGTTTTTCATGTATGCATAAAGGGCATGGGTCATCCCAGGGTTTACAAGTTTTGTTCTATTTATTATTTTCCATTTTAATTTTGGTGTTTTATTCATTTCTTTTAAATACCAAAAATATTATAAAACCACTTCTTTTTTATGTCATTGCCCCAATTCTTGTATCTTTTCACTGACCCCAGGAGAGTAGTACGGTTCATTTTGGAAAAGACTGATTTACATTTTTTTTTGTCAGATAATCATAAATAAAACCAGATGCAAAATTAGAACTTTTCTTTAATATAAGAATATTTGAGAAAAAAAAATCAGGATTTTCATTCGAACAATTTGCCGGACTACTGAACTCATTTTATGTTTTGCATCTTACACAGATTTGTTGTAACGTGAATACCTCATGACAGAAATATATTCAGTGACATAATAAAGGTTTAATCAATTTACATAATATCTATATCATTAATAAGACGAAGAATAGAAGAAAAATCTGATATTAAAATTATCTTCTTACATTGTCTAGTAAAAGAATTATTTGCTATTGATCATTGTATTCACTATTTTTTAATCTGGGGCACATTGAAGAAAAACAGTTTCAAAATGAAATGTCAAAATAAACATAAGAATTTCAAAAGTCTTGCCGAATTCCAATAATTATCAGCATAAAGTGATGTTGTTGGAATGATACGAACTCTTCTCAAAATGATGGACAGTATAAAAAAAAAATTATTAAGTAAACAATTCTCTCATAAAGCACCGAAGTTAAGCAATGTCGAGCCTGATCGGTACGTAGATGGGTGACCGCATGAGAATACCAGGTGCTGTAAGCTTAGTCTTGCGGGTGGTATGTGGTTCAAGGCCATGACACGTTGAAACACCAGTTCTCGTCCGATCACCGAAGTTAAGCAACGTCGAGCTTGTTCAGTACCTAGATGGGTGACCGCTTGGGAATACCAGGTGCTGTAGGCTCGGAGCTGAGGCTGATATATGGTTTAAGGCCATGCCACGTTGAAAACCCGCTCTCCTCCGATTACCGAAGTTAAGCAATGTCGAGCCTGTTCAGTACGTAGATGAGTGGCTGCTTGGGAATACCAGTTGCTGTAAGCTTGGTGCTCTTGGTGGTGTATGGTTTAAGGCCATTTTACATTGAAACACCCGTTTTTGTTCGATCGCCGAAGTTGAACAACGATGAGTCTGGTCAGTAAGTAGATGGGTGACCGCTTGGGAACTCCAGGTGCTGTAAGCTTGGAACCGCAGGTGGTATGTCGTTTAAGGCCATGTCACGCTGAACAACCGGTTCTCGTCCGATCACCGAAGTTAAGCAACCTCGAGCCTGGTCAGTATGGGTGACCGCTTGGGAATACCAGATGCTGTAAGCTTGGATGTGCGAAGAACAAAGTTCGAATTCCTGTTGAGTTTGTTACACCCACTTATGTACAAAGTGAAATGGGAGTAGTGGTAAAGTCAGTGGGTGATACTAAGTCAGATTCAAAAACACAATCCTCTTTGTTATTTTAGTTTCTTCCTGTCAAAAGAATTTCTTGTATCACCCATTTAGTAATCCTTAGAGTGAATGGAAGCTTTTAATTTCAACGTATTTGTTTAATAATGTCTTACCTGTAATAGAAACATGAACAAAATGGAATTGAAATCATCCAGAGAACTGAAATCTTGGAGACACTTAGGAGACTTGCTGTCACTTGATATCCAGTGAGAAACACAACTATTCGAGTGACAACTCCACTTGTGCAATATAATGATACTGCATTGGAAAATAAACCCTGTCTTATTGGTGTCGGCTTTAGGATCATGTACGTTCTACTTTCGGTGCAGATCAGCTTGAGGCTGACGAGGTGTGCCCAGCTATAGCAGCTACAATGGGAAGGTATGAATAAGATGAAGATGAATTCTATCAAAACAAATTTTCTTTCTTCTTTTTATTACTTGTTCTGTGTTTTTTTGTCTCAAAAGGGGAGATAACCTAAAAGACTGTCGCAGTATTTTTTTCCCGTCAGCACTCCTTTCTTTTAACTTCCATTGGCGGTAGTTGGTGTTACAGAAAGTGAATATATCTGTCTCTATTTCTGAGATGAGATATTATGTTCATTATTTACATTATTCGGACGATTGTCTTCATCTGTGTCGCCATATTTATTTCAACGTTTAGGCCGTTGTACGCTCCGGCCGTCTTCAGGTGGTTGGAATGTCGAACTGAACCCTTTATTTCGCTCACTAGTGTAGACTTTTCTAGTTCCACGTGCCATGTTTTAATGGATGTCAGTTATCAGTTATCAATTTTTTAAGGAGTGCCATAGAAGAGCGATAATAACAACAAAAATTGCAATATGAGCTCTGGTAAAAACATTAATTGATAACAGCAAAAATTGCAATATGAGTACTGATAAAAAATAGTTGCTGAAGACAATAGGTTTATGATACCCAGGAATTCATGGCAGTGGATAAAGGCGTTAGTTAGATCCAGTGACAGGACCCAAAGAGTGTAAGTTCAATACCCGATTAAGGCAATGCAGAACTTTCACAGGGAAATTAACAGGAGATAACTGATAACTGACATCCATCAAACATGGCACGTGGAACTAGAACAGTCTACCCCAGTGAGTAAAATAAAGGGTTCGGTTCGACATTCCAACCACCTAAAGAAGGCCGGAGCGTACAACGGCCGAAACGTTGTAATAAATATGGCGACAAAGATGAGTCCGAATAATGTAAATAATGTACAAAAAGTGAAGTTCTTCTTTAAGAAATATTTATATTTTTTTGAGAGAACGCTTCAGAAATAATAATAATAATAATAATAATAATACTACTACTACTAATAATAATAATACATTAAAGAAATAAAAAAAAATTGTACTCACAAGTACAGTTCACGCATTACAAAGAGTAAAATGTCTTAGTTTTTTTTTTTTTTACAAAAATGATTAGTGGAAGATGTCATAAAGTCATTTCTGACCTTAGGTCTCTGGTTGGGGCCCGGAAGGAAAGGTTTATACAACAGAAACCCAAGGAAATCAAGGTAGCGACATATGTGCTCTGGAAGATATGGAAGAAGCACAAAATCGAAACCACTGAGAGATGGTATGAAGCACCAACCAGACACAGTTACCCAAAATAACGATCCAACTATTCTCTTAGACATGCCAATTCAAAATGATAGGGAAATAAAAAGCCAACAGAGCTGATATTATCATAAAAACAAGAAATTCAGGAAATGAATGCTCATTGACCTAGCAGTACAATCTGAGAGAACACCACCCACGAAAATTATCAAAAAAAGTTCAAATACAAGGACCTGGAGATCGTGATTAACAGGATGTATGGAATGAAGACTTAGACTGTACCAATAGTAATCGGAGCACTTGGCCTCGCGAGAAAAATAATGGACAATTGTACTAACACTTTCCCAGGTAACATCATCAAATTGCCCAGAAGATCGCCTTACTAGAAAAATCCCATATACTAAGAAAAGTACTATCATTTAAATGACAATTCTCCTATAGGGCCTAACGACCATAGTTTGAACCCGTCTCTACAGGATACAAAGTAGGAAACATAACATAGACAAATAATAATAATAATGCTTATTATTGTTATTATTCTGTGAACGAAAAATACCTATTATGTCAGTATTAAAAATAACTTTTTCTTTGATATTTCATTTTCTTTTTATTCAATATTGTTTTGTCCCGAAGGCTTTGGAAAAAAATTCAATCTGTATTATTAATAACATACTATCTACCCAACCACCCGTGTATGGGGTACGTTATTATCCAAAACATAAGAAAATATTGAATAAAACAAGCCTATTTATATCTTTCTTTCGTTTCCATACTTCCCTTCTTTCTTTTCACTCTCTTTACTTTTCGTGTTTCATTAGCTTTCTTACCGTCTGTCTTTCTTACTTACCGTCTATCTTTCTTACCCGCTTTCTTACTTACCCTCTATCTTTCTTACCCGCTTTCTTACTTACCCTCTATCTTTCTTACCCGCTTTCTTACTTACCCTCTATCTTTCTTACCCTCTTTCTTACTTACCCTCTATCTTTCTAACCCTCTTTCTTACTTACCCTCGAGCTTTCTTACTTACCCTCTATCTTTCTTACTTACCCTCTGTCTTTCTTACTTACCCTCTATCTTTCTTAACCTCTTTCTTACTTACCCTCTATCTTTCTTACTTACCCTATGTCTTTTTTACTTACCCTCTATCTTTCTTACTCCCCTTCTATCTTTCTTACTTCTCTCTATCCTTCTTACTTACCTTTTATCTTTCTTACTCACCTTCTATCTTTCCTACTTACTCTATATCTTTCTTATTTACCTTTTATCTCTCTTACTTCTCTCCATCTTTCTTACTTGCCCTTTATCTTTCTTACTCACCTTCTATCTTTCCTACTTACCGTCTACCTTTTATCATATTTACCTTTTATCTCTCTTATATACATTCTATCTTTCTTACCCTCTGTCCTTCTTACTTATCTTCTGTCTTTCTTTCCTACCTTCTGTCTTAATTACTTACCCTCCATTTTTCTTATTTTCCCTCTATTTGTCTTACCCTCTATCTTTCCGAGCCATTATCCATTACACCACTCATACATCCATGCTTACAACACCTGTTATTCCCAAGCGGTTACCCTCTACGTACTGTCCAGGTCCGACGTTGCTTAACTACGGGAACAGGTGTTTCAACGAAGCCAATACTTTTCACGGAGCACACAAACATTACGCTGATCCTAGGCAAATGTGCTGGGAAGCGACACTTTGATGTTTAACTGATTGTAGAGATACCTAAAAAAGATAATTAAAAGATTTAGTTCAACAGCAAAAAATTTGAAACATTCTAGAAAATGATACGATGAAAATTATTGCCCCCACTCGCATCCAATAAATTATTTTATGACAGCTCGGACTATAGTTAACATTGAATTAGAATTAGGTTAGCCATTAAAGTGGTCCTCACCCTGTTCGTATACTTAGCGAATACTTACTAAGTATTATTTTAATGTGTGTAATTTTTTAGATAATAATGGAGTAAGACAGATAAAATTTTGTCGGAACTTTTACGATGAGGAATTGTCATTTATTATGTGTTTGCTGTCCGGATCAACGTGCTCATCTCAGTTGTTATACTTACAACTCTTTAGCCTTTGAACCTACCGGCCTTTTGGTTTCTGCTTTCGTAGGTGGTGGCCCACTTGGAGTTTTCGAACTGAGCCTCTTATATAAACTACGGAGGTAGATGGTTATCAGCCCACCTTCAATACTTTGAGAAGTATTAACTCATATTAAAAATAACATAAGCAGAAAAAGCAGAATGAGAACACCTTAGCTTCGATTGAATAAAGGGTTTGCTTTGAAATTCAGAAAAGGTTATCGAGTACGAAGAATAGCTGACGAAGACCCGAGGGAAATACGACCGAAACATTGTGCATATGATAACCAAGATGGATATGGTGATTCGAAAAGCAATGGATATAACAAACTGATTAGCTAGCAACACCGCCACCACCACTACCATCACCACCACCATCACCACCACCATCACCACCACCACCACCACCAATAATAATAATAATAATGATAACTTGGAGTGGAATCGTCTTGACACCACGTTTGAGTGCAAGAACAGCTGTGAATGGCTCCTGATAGAAGTAACGGTTCCTTGGGAAAAGAACATCGTCAAGGCGGAGCAGGCCAAAGTAAAGAGGTACAGAGGCCTGGCAGGGCAAATCAGAGAAATTTACCAAACAACAGCTCCTGTTGTCCTTTTTGTGGTTTCTGGACTATTTCCAGGAATCTTTCCGTCTCGCAGGGCGCCTTGAGGATATCTGACATCATCGGGAATGCACAGATGGCAGCATTGCTTGGAACAAATCATATGCTTCGGAAAGAGCTATGTCTCTAAGCTGCGAGTAGGAGCCGAGACATGACCATCATCACCCGACCGAAACATCAAAGTGTCGGAGAGAATATCAACTAATAATAATAGCGGGTGTGACCATGAAAACAAATGTTAACAGCACAAACCAGAAACCGCTATACAAAGACAAAAAGAAAAACAAAAAAAGATACGCTGGGTCTCTAAGATCTAGACTGATCAATCCATCTAAATGCGAAAAGTGATGGCTATGTTCATTCCTATAATAGTGGGAGCATTTGGAACTATATCAAAAGCACTAGACTTGATATTAGACAAATAAAATGCGAGAAATAATTGAGAATACTTATATGTTCTACGAGAATATTGAGAAAGGCGTTGAAGAATTATGGCTATTCCTGTTATTGAATCTGCTGCATTTCTTTTTTTTTTTTTTTTTAAATAATAATGCTTTTAGTGATAGTCTTAGTAATTAACCCATAGCTGGGGTCAGAAAGGGTGGATTCATACTTTTCCCAAGAGTATTTGCGCATAAAAGAATATAACGAATCCAACGGGGATTGGAACTCGGTACTCCAGTTTAACAATTTCGAGCCATTATCCATGACACCACCCGCACATCCAAGCTTACAGCATCTGGAATTCCCAAGCGGTCACCCATCTAGACACTGGCCAGGATCGACGCTGCTTGACTTAGGTGATTGCCAGGTCTTGATAACTACGAGAAATCTGATATGAACGAGCGAATACATAAAAAACAACAACAACAACGACCACAGAAACAATAATAATAATAATAATAATAAAAGTTTCAAATGAGTAAAGAAATGCAAGTAAAGCATAATACAACGACTGAAGCTGCAAAATACTTAAAACGAAAGCAAAGGCAAATGCAACCGACCAAATACAGAAAAGATGGCAAGATAATCCGCTTCATGCTGATTAACTCTGTCCTTACCAAACAAGCTGATGTAGACAAATTCCGTACTCATCAGTGGCTACGTAGTACACGATTAAAAACTGAAGCCGAAGGTTTTCTTGCTGCACAGGACCAATGCTTGATAACTAGAAATTCCCAAGCAGACATACTGAAAAATTGTGTTAGCTCAATCTTGTATCAGGTTGCGCGATATTGGCACCCATTGATTATAAAACCCGGTTTGACAGAGTGGGCCAATATCCGCACTGGAAAATGTGCAACTTTTACGGAAAGGAAACTGCAAGAAATTAGTATGAACATCACCCAGAGTCGTTTACGGAGATAGGGCCTGTAATGGGATTTTACAATACACACAGTTAGAAAAATGAAAGCTAATCGCCCAGACATCGGGATTAGAGAACGCAAAGGCAAAATGTGCTTTCTTATTGACATGACAGCCCCTGCAGACTGTAATGTATCTTCGAAGATTATCAAAAAAACTATTAAAATACACGGACCTTGAAATCGAAATCTCAAAATTGTGGCACATGAGAAAATCAACAATTTCAGTTGTAGTTGGAGCCCTCGGATTGATTGGATAAGATTCCAAAAGACTCAACGAAGGGATTCCTGGTAGCCCATGCTTTAACGAAATACAAAAAAGGGCCCTCACCTTATAAAGGGAAAATGTTGTGATGCCATTTCAGACCTTAGGTCTCTGGTCGGGACCCGGAAAGAAATGAGTATACACCAGAAACCAAAGGAAATAATAATAATAATAATAATAATAATAATAAAGAAAAAGAAAAAGGAAACATGCAAATATATTAGGTTGAGTCATAAATAATTTCCGTTTTTGTTTATTAACTTTATTCTTTTTCTCCCCCCGCCCACAAATAAATACAATTTTATTCCATTATGTATTCATGATTATTTGCACTGACTCGTGGCCAATTATCAGAAAATTCATTTACAGTTATTGAGTAAAATTCTGTAGGTTTTGATTTAAAAATGTTTTCCACAAACACTTGATTTTGATTTTCATTAGAGAAATTTCTTCCTCACCCCCATCAAAGCGTTTTGTTTGCAGCGATAGAAAAAGATAATAATCAACCGATGCAAGGTCAGGTTAATATGGCGAGTCGAGTAGAACAGAGCAAACGAGTCTCAACATTTTGTCCTGTGTTTTTCTTGCTGCACGCGATTTTGCGTTTTCATGGAAGAGAACATTTTTCTCACAGGGAGATTTTTGACTAAACGTTTACGGACACGTTGCAGCTGCTGGACGTATAAATGTGCATTTAATGTTTCATTGCGTTTTTTAAAAAAAAACTCTAGGGGAATGGTCTCACCACATGCACAACATTACCTTTCTTCCATGGAGTTTAGCTTTTGGTGTCGGATGTGGAAATTTTTCCTTGTCAATCCACTGCCTATTGCGTTGAACATTGTTGTATGTTAGTGTATTCCAAATTTATTCTTAACTGTCACATGTAATTAGTAGTTAAGATGATAATCCACCATTAAAACTGGTTCCACAAAACGGAAATTGCTTAAGACTAGACCTTATATTTCGCTGTAACTTCTAACCACAGAATATATGTGAAAGAAAGTTAAAATATAGATATGTATCTGAACATTGCCAGAGAGCTTAGACACCTTGACGTGGTGTAATGGTTATTAAGCTTGTCTCGGTAATACAGTTACCATTTAATAGTGTGTTCGATCCTCATTCGGTGCTCTATTAGTTCCGCTTAGAAAGTCATTTTGGCCACATCTAAGCTGCGCTTGGAATATCACTATATCTGAACATTGCCAGAGAGCTTGGGCACCTCGACTTTGTGTAGTGGTTAGCCAGCTTGTCTCGCTAGAATAATTACGACTGAGTAGTGAGTTCGATCCTCACTGCGTGCCTCATACTTTCGGCCTTGCGTCACATCTAAGCGGCGTTTAGAAAATCACCCTTGCCATAGAGGTGTTGAAGTTTTGGAGCATGAAGATGACAGTTATGTCAGTCATTATCGGAGCACTGGGAAAGGTCCGGAAGAGCCTAGAAAAAAAAAAACTTGCGGAGCGGAAAAGTTGGAACCATTTAAACTAGTGATTTTCCAAGCACAGCTTAGATGTGGCACAAGGCCGAAAGTATGGGGCACCCAGTGAGGAACTATTTAAACTATTATTAAAGACATCTTGAATACTGAGGAAAGTGCTGGACTATTAAGGAGACTTGAAATCAGTTAATTTACAGTGTAAACTGCCAGTTGCTATTGGCGTGGACAATGTTATTATTAATAATAAAATAATTTGGCAATAAAACTAATAAAGACATCTTTCTAATGATATTGGACTCAGGCCATGTTGCCGCCTTCCCAAGCATGAAACTGCAAGCGCCAATTCGTTGCGGCACGGTCTTTTAGAATTAACGCTCTTGTTTCAGTTTACTTATTTCCACAAGGCTTAGTTCTTTTGCTCTTAGTCAAAATAGGAAATGCTCAGTTGATTGTCCGTGCGGACAGAAATAAATCTACTGGATGCAGGAAATCAAACAAACCCCTTTTTTTTACCTTTTTTTCTTCCTATTTTTCTTTTTTGTTTAATAATAAACCAAGTAAAATCGAGGAGAACGAAACAGGGAGAAAGCGAAAGCGTGTTAGAGAAAGAGAGACTGGGTGACATTGAAAGAGAAACAAAACAAGAGAGAGAGAAAGAGAGAGAGAGAGAAAGAGAGAGAGAGAGGAAGAAAGCGAGAACGAGAAAAAGAGAGGACAAGAGAGGGGACTAGAGACGAAGAGAGAGAGAAAGAAAGAAAGAAAGAAAGAAAGAAAGAAAGAAAGAAAGAAAGAAATATGTGATATAGAACGAGAGAAAGAAAAATAAGAGAGAGAAAAAAAAGAGACATACAGTAAGACAGCGGAAGAAAGAGAGAGAAAGAGAGAGAGAAAGAGAGAGAGAGAGGCTGGTAAAGAGAAAAAGAGTGAAGAGATAGAGAGAGAGAGAGAGAAAGCGTGTGTGATAAAGGGAGACTGAGTAAGACAGAGAATGAAAGAGAGAAAAATAAAACAGGAGAGAGGGTGTGATTTATAACGAGAGATAACAAGAGAAAGATAAAAAATGAAAGAAAGAGAGACAGAAGATAGAGAGAGAGAGAGAGAGAGAGAGAGAGAGAGAAAGAAATAGGGCGATACAGAGGGAGAAAGAGAGGGAGGAAGAAAGAGCAAGGAGAGAGAAAGTAAGAGGACAAGACAGAGGGAGAAAGAGAGAACGACAGAGAGAAAAAGAGATGAGAAAGAGAGAGAGGGGGAAGCGATAACTGTAGAGACAGAAAGAGAGAAAATACGGAAAGAGAGAGAGAGAGAGAGAAAGAGAAAAATGAGTGAAAGTCAGATTAAAGCGGCTTCTTTCTCTATACGTTTCTTTTTTTAACCATTGCTCTATAAATGTGTGTGTGTCTCTGTGTGTGTGTGTGTGTGTGTGTGTGTGTGTGTGTGTGTGTGTGTGTGTGTTTCGCTTAAAAATTAACGTTTGGACTTGTCTTTATTTGCCAACTCATGACATAATTCTATCTACACCTTACCCCCACCGATATGTTTGTTTTTTTTTTTTTTTTCTTTTTTTCTTTTTTTCTCTCTCCTCTTTGCATCTAAATCGGAAATCTGTAGGTTTTGGTTGCTTGGACAACGTCAATAGCGTAACAGTTCGATTATCTGACGCATCTCTATCCAAGCGTATGGTTATGTGTGCATTGGTTTGGATGCACGTTTCTTTCTGGGTGAGTGACCGAATGTTTAGAAAGCTAACGTCCCAACAAAAGGAACCGGGTTCGAATCTCATCATGGGTAGCGAAGTGTCTGAAAACGATACCACAGGGTCGACCCAAATCTTATGAGTGAAACTGTGTAGACAAAACTGTTCGTAAGCCGATATTGGTTGGGCTAGCACGAATTTACGAGTCATCGTGACCGAGGGTTTAAATGTACTCGCAATCGCGATCGAAAACCCAGTGACCAGAGACATAGAGTCACCATATGTACTGCAGCCACGGTAGAAGTGGTGTTTCTTGGGCAAGATAACCTGACCAGGGCCCAACCCTCTCCAGGCCGGTTTTTTGTTAGACTTCTAGACCAATTGCTACCCAACTGTCTCTCCTGCTATTTACCCATAGCTGGACGAGGGCGTGGGTAGAAGAGGATTCATACCTTTCCTAAGGGTATTAGTACGTAAGTGATTGTAATGGATCTGACTGAATTCTGATTCCTCAACCCGAGCCTCTATCTACTACGCTACAGTGCCCCCATGTACTAGTTTGGTTAATTAATGATTATACCAGACTGTACTCTCTCAAAACTGATCAGCATAGTTGTAGTAAATAACTTTGAAGATGTAGCAGAAACTCAATTATGCCTGAGCAGGCATCTGCAGCTGGGACTAGCTAACCACCCTAACAGATGAGCATACACGGAAACGAGCAGCCATTATGTTTCTCTCTGTGTCTTGGAGGTGCTGCGAGAGTAACGAATATCGATGCGGAAAGTTAATTAGGCGTGCCGGGTTCAGTTCCCGTTCAATTCTGTTGCTCTCACTTTGCTCTAATGCCCTTGAAAAAGGTACAAATCCATCTGGCTCCAGCTATGGGTTGAATAGTAAGGGAGACTGGGATTACTTGTTTAGAGGCGGCAACCCGTCTAGAAGAAGGAAAACTCTGAATTTAAAACCAGCCTGAAGAGGGATGGATTACTGGAGACACACACACTGTGTGCCTACATGTTTGTGTTTTACGTATGTATACTTATACGTTTGTATAAGTTTTCTCGCGTACTTGTATGGATGTATCTCTCTTCTTGCTTGTGTATGTGAGAGAGAGAGTGCGCATGTGTGCGCGCAATTGTGTATATATGTGATAACGTGTGTCAGTCTGTATATTGTTGCGTTTGTTTTTGTGTGTATATATATATATGTAGTTTGCGTATATCCATATCGATGTTTGTGTGCATCTCCGTGTGTATTTTTATGTACTTGTGTGGGTGGGTATTTCAGTGCGTGTTTTTGCGTGTATATGCGTGTGTATTTTTGCGCTTACGTGTCAGTGTGTTTTGTGCATTTCCGCGTGTGCGTCTGCGTGTTCATATGTGCGTGTATGTCAGTGCCTATGTTTGTGGCTATATGCGTCAGTGTGCGTGTGAGTGTGCGTGTGTGTGTGTGCACGTATATCGGAGTGTGTTTTATGTGTGTCTGCATGCATGGATGCCGGTACATGCGCTTTTTCTTGTATATCTGTGTGCGTGTGTGTATGTATGTATGTGAGCGCCCTTTAATACTTGTATATAATTGTATATGACTCTCTCTCTCTCTCCCCCCCCTCTCTCGGTGCACTCATGCAGGTTAATTCGTTTATCAGATGAAGTGTAAAGAGAGGTTGATGTCCAGAATGACAAGAAATGGTTGATAAAGATATAAAAGTTTAGAACGAAAACGTTGGGTTCTTGATACCCCCCAAAAAAAAAACCAACTAAATATAAGAAAATAAAAATAAAGGAGGTAAGAAAGCGATTGTTGCTGCTGCTCCTGCTGCTGGTGTTGTTTTCTCTTTTTTTTTTTTTTTTTTTTTTTTGTCTGGCGTCTTCCCGTCATCGGAGCTTCCGCCATCTGCGGCATCGTCCAGTTGCAGCAAGGGAAATATCATGTGTTTCATAACGGATATCTCCCAATGGATCCCGCAATCACTAAATGAGCGGCCACTCTACGTTTCGATTATTATAAAGCTATTCGTTTATTAATGGAAATTCATTCTGGTTTCCCACCGGTTGTTCATTCAGTTTTCTTTCCTTCCTCATTTATTATTATTATTATTATTATTATTATTATTATTATTATTCATTTTCTGTCCACTTCGTCTTCTCTCTGTTTTTCTTACTTTTTCCTATATTTCTACCTTTCTTTTCCATTTATACCTCGGTTTACTTTTAGCTTCTTCTTCTCCCCTTTCTACCGACTTGGTTGTCTTTTTCTGCCTTCCTTATTTTTTTTCTTTTCTTTTGCCTTTCGTCTTCTTCTTCTTCTTCTTCTTATTCTGTCCACTTCATCGTCTTCTCTGTCTGTCTTTCTTACTTTTTTTTCGATATTTCTACCTTTCTTTTCCATTTATACCTCCGTTTGCTTTTAGTTTCGGTTTCACTTTCTGCCAACTTCGTCGTCTTTCTGTTTTCCTTATTCTTTCCTTTCTCCTTTTCTTCTTCTTCTTCTTCTTCTTCTTCTTCTTCTTCTTCTTCTTCTTCTTTTTTTTACTTTCCTCATTGTCTTCCCTTTCTTCTTTTTTTTTTACTTCTTTTTACCCTCTTTCTCAATTATCTACATTCTCCATTTATTTTTCCCATTATTGTAAAAATCCATGATAATTTTCCAAGTTCGAAACTTTTCTGGTCTGTTCGCAGGGCAAGAATCTTCGGCCTTTTCTCTGAGTGCAATGCCTTATTATTTTAGGATATTATTATTGTTGCTATTACATATACGCCTAATGGTTAGAACGTTCGCTTTTAGACCATGAGAACCTGGTCAATCATGAGGAGTATTTCTTGATGTTATTGGCCCCAGGAGGCGATCTCAGCGCGCGCCATCTGTGGAAAGTGCCTGAAAACCATACCATCGGCGAGTGAAATTAGGTAGATGGAATTGTCCGATGGTTGTACGTACTTTACTCAAGATGTTGACCACATCAGATGTTGCACACTCTCACAGAAACTGTAGCTAAGGCCTGCTCAGCATAGCTGCCGTATAAACTACAGGTGGGTTCTGGGTGTGAAAAAATACAAATGTGACTGAGCAGGCGACTGCTCGTATGTCTGCAACACAGCCTGGCAGATATGGATACGAATGGCTAGCCATTATATAGACATTGTCAGCCTATACATTTTACATCAGGTTTCAATGAATATTGACGTGTATGTACGCGGATGCTTTTTATAGCGTAGCCTCTTGTGAGTCTCTCAAACTGTTACTATTGTAATGAATTTATTTCTTACGTGATGATTTATGCCCAAATGATGAATATCTGTATTTTAAGGTAACATATTTTTGTAAAGTAACATTAAAGTGAATATTCAGCCAGCTCGGAACATCTGGAGTGGTTGAAAATCACCAGGAGATGAAATTAGGGGTAAATGGAGGTCGAAAACAAGAGTTATATAATCTAGTGTAAGGATGCAAAGGGCGATCATCTCCCTTTCCCGAGGGTCACGTGATGGTCGCTGAGCGACATCAGTTTGGTGTGATGGGTGTTGGGCGAATCCCAGTTGCTATGTAGACAGCTAGGACGATAGACGTCATCACAAGCCCGCAGCGGTAGGGCGAACAGAGGAGGCGTCATAATTCCACGAAGAACATAGAGGACACCACCGGCTTGGATGTTTTCCCTTCAAGAAATATTACAAGTAAGGACTCGATTTTTTCGTTCACACTACTTGTTGTATTCATATATGTTATAGTTTCTCTGTGTGGGACAAATAGTGACAAGTATACTATAGTTGTATAAATTTGTTGTATAAAATAACGATATATAAAATTTCTTCGAAAATGTATGTTTGTCAATCCGTTCACTCAGCCATCCTCCCTGTTTGTTAAGGTATTATGATGTCACGGATACACTAATGTCTATAATAGGAAACAGTAACCGAAAATATTCTCTCTTTGGCATTCCCATTACAAGAAAGTAATAACCGCCAGCATTGTATATTAAAAATTCCCCCAGGGCTGATCATTCTTTTCTTTTTAAGTGCCATGTCCTTTCAGGATGGAGGCGATCACGGCTTTCCCCCTCTATTTATCTCTTGCAGCCCTTAACAAGTTTCTTCCCTCTGCTTCCTCCCGCAGACCACGTTTTGTCATCCACCTGCTCAAGCTCGCCAGGTATGTCACGGGCTGTTTTCCCTTGTCTCTCTTTCCCTCTATTCGACCCGTGAGTATTAGATTCTCCAGGCCCTCCTTCCTCATTATGTGTCACAGAAACTTCAGCTGCCTCTTTCTGATGTTAAGTATAAGCCTTTTCCTTTTTTTTCCAGCCACTCTAAGACCTCATAATTGCTCACAAGCACGAGTCATTAACGTAACTAAAACGGACCAACTTGTCACCAAATATTAATGATCTTATCAAATAACATCTGTCTCATTACTGATATTAAACTATTCGTTTATAAAATCACTTCGAGTCTCTTCATCTGCGAAGAGATTGTCCGACATTCTCTGTTATAAAGGTTAGATATTATATAGCAGTCTAGCACTCCTTTATTTGTTTCTAAGGATATTTTCTGATCTCTAAATTATAGACTTTATCTGTAAGTTTGGGGTTTTAATCCAAATAGAAATATTTATGGATTGAGTAGAAAAATGAGTTTATATGACTTATTGCAGAGTTTCTCTTTCTTTGACTAACTAAATGCTGGCACCTCTCCGATGTTTCTGCCTCAAATACTTTAAGAATGCACAACAATTTGCCTAATATTTCTTTTCTATGACTTTTGCTTGTATGAAATATTACTTTTCATGATCTTTCAGACTAAAGTGTCTTACGGTCATATGACGTTGAAATACCGGTTCCCATACGTTCACTGTTAAAAGTTAATCAACGTTGAGCCTGGTCAGTACCTAGATGGGTGACCGCTTGGGAATACAAGGTGCTGTAAGCTTGAATGTGCGGGCGGTGTAATGGTTAATGGCTCAGAATTGGAAATCGGAGAGCCGAGTCCTAATTCCAGTCAGGATCGTTATAGTTACGCGTAAATACTCTTGGGGAAAGGTATGAATCCACCTCTTTCCGTCCCAGTTAATTAGTAGGACTTGTATCAGTAAATTATTATTATCCCCAAAAGATTGTTAAGACCTAAACATATTTTCAGGCTTTAAATAACCTGTAAATGGCTGAAAAACGTAAAAAAACAATAGCTTGTAAAAGATTGTACTTTTGTATTCTTTTCATTTATATTTTAAAAAGAAAAAATATAGATTTAGTTGAAAAATGTTTCACTTTATTTAAAAGATCATGTCAGAACTCTTAATTAAATACTGCTAATATATTCCTGATATTTAAATTGGCTATTTATTTTCAACTTTGAAATACCATTCTTTCTTTTCAAAACCTCTTAATTTTAACGTTTTTACAATCAAATGTTTTATGCCTAGTCCACACTGTTTTTATATTATCATTTAATAGGTTTACGTGAAATAACATAGTTATATGTAAAAGTATTTTTTTCTTTCTTTGCTCAGTTTCTGAAAGGCATCTTTCACTATTCTTAGACAATTTCGAATTTCTGTTTCGCCTTTTCAGTCATTTCGTAATACTTTTCCCGATATCCGTTCACTTAAACTTGTCAAGTAGATTACCACATGTTTACCCTACTTCTCTTGCATTTAACATGCCTTGTGAGTGTTAAATTCTACAAGCCTTCTTTCCTCATTACGTGTCTTGGAAATTTCAGCTGTTTTATTTTGATTATTCGTAGCAGGTTCTTTATAGTTCCTGCTCTCCTTAAAAATTTCTCTCGCCATGTTATTTTCAATATTCACCCGTAGAATCACTTCTCTTTTACTTTAAATCACCTCTTCACCTGTGAAGAGATTGTCCAGCATTTATTTTCGTTTAAGAGCACCCTATTCTTTGTTTTTAAGGAGATTTTCTGATCTCTTCATACATTGCTTAGTTTCTGAAAGCATCTTTTGCTATTCCTATGTACCTTTGAATTTTGTTTGGTTTTGTAATGTCAACGAACAGTCGTTGTCACTTTCGTAATGCTCATTGTAGTAGAGACTTTGTAATCGCAGATACAACTACAGTACGCCGTTGAACAATAATGGTGTCAGACGCCTTCGAATAACACTCGCACTAATAGTACTTGCTCGATAATACTCGAACAGTAACCCAAATAGAGGGATAGTATAGAGAATAACGCTCCGTATAGAGGACAGAATAGAAATAGCGATCCGAATAGTAATAGAATAGGAATGGCGATCGTTTAGACGTCACGCAAACTCCTACTTATGCGTTTCCTCTATGGACACGTGGTCTACTTAATTTAATAATGGGATCGCCTATGTTTGCTCACTGGAGATCTATGTTCAAACTCAAGTGTCGGCAGCGACATTTTATTCCTATATATCAGTTGATTGATTTTGTTTTGATATCAACACCTTTATGGGTTATTTAATGCCGAAATGTGAATATTTTGAACGCAATTTTATGCTTTCAACTACATCTACTTTGTACATAATTTTATTTTTTCAGAGTAAAGGTATTTTTTTTTTAGAGATATAGTTTGTTAATCATAAAATGTATTGTTCGGTAATTTTACTATAAAAATATATTTTTATATATATTTTAATCCTGCATTGTCATTTTTGTATTGTTACTTATTTTATTATAGAAATTTGCTATTGATTTTTGCTTGGCTTTTACTATTTGCCCATAACAGGGACGAATACAACCCGGGTCAGTGTGGACCTGGGAACAACGGCAGTTAAGAGGAGGTTCCAAGCTCCTCAAAACTTACAATCTCCCGATCAGAGGCCTTGCTGCCGGATGTAGTTTATCGTCATGCCCAGAAAGTGTGCCTTTAGATCTCTGTCAGATTTTTAATTCTACTACTCAATTAAATTTCTACACCTACTTGATTTTGACGTCCCCGTTACGTAACTCTCGCCTTGAGGTATCTCTTTTACTGACAACCATGCATACCGTCTTTGTAGCGTATGTTGTTAAGGTTACGTCTTCCGACAATAAATCCTGGTAGGTCTTCTAATCCTGACTGACTCTTAATTGGTTTTTAAGTAGCTAACACAAATCAAATGCTCTGGTGATGGGGGATATATTTCATGGGATATTTTTTATTGCTGTGCAGTCAACTGTAGTACGCCGTTAACAAGCATTAAGAAAAAAATGACTCTCAAGCAATGAAAATGGGTTCCACATTAACCGCCAGAAGCAGACATGTGTCAGTGTTTAAAAACGCTTGTTTCTTTTTTCTCTTCATGATTGTATTTTTTTTTTTTTTTTGAACAAGTCAGTCACCAGCAACAAAAAATAATTTATTGCAAATATCCAAAGGGAAAAGAATAATTGTCAAATCCAGAAATACTTGTATTAGGTTGGTGCAAAAATAATGTCGTTTTTGACGTTCAACTCAACGTCAAAAAACGACATTATTTTTGCACCAACCTAATATATTATGTGGAATCAAGTCGTCGCAGAAGAGAATTTTTAGGTTCGGTGGGATTCTGAAGAAATTTATTTATGAAGTTTTAGACCCTGGACAAACTTCTATTCTCTGGTATTGTCAAGACCTCATATATGGTTGGGCTTGTGGCTCGAAAAGGGTATTGTTCTACCGGGTGTAACAGCAAAATTGTCCAAATCGTGTAACAGCAAAATTGTCCAATTGTTAGATCAAGTTTTGAACCGTTTATCTTAGAAGTGATTAAAGATATCTTACTGGAATTATTCAAGGTTTTTATAATCCTATTTTGAGCAATAAGAACGTACAATTACTCTCGAGGCTTAACAGAAGGATCGTGATGAAATCGATCATAAATGAAAATGACATGTTCATCATCATGAAAATGACATGTTCATCACAGCTAAGGATCATTTTGCAAATTATTCAAGATGATCTTCGCCCTCTAACTTTCTGTCCTGTGCCTCACATGTTTCACGTATGATTTCATTTTCAAGTCTTTTTTCACTGCCCTTTGGGCTGTCGTAGCTGAAACTTCTCTCTCACGGACCAAAGGTCTTATGGATTGAGTTGATTCTTTTCTAATTGATCTCTTTAGCTCTAAGTTGAAATGATGATCGCTCTTCTTGTTATGACCTCCTGATCCAGTTTTCCTCTCAACTGTCCCCTTTTTTTAAACATATTCATCGTTCTCTTGATGGTTCTTGAATGGACTTTGAAGATGGAAGCCAGAGTAGGAATGTTGGTACTATTACTGAAGGCCTGAATGATCTTTTTTCTCTCACCATTGCTCAGTTGAGAAGACATAGTGGGTCTGACACAAAATGATTTTAACCTGTTCTCTTTCTAGCTGAATAACTCAAAGGGATTTTCACTGATTCTTACGATAAATCGTTTCAAGATAACTAAGCGTCATTTCTGAAAACCTAAAAAAAGAAGAAGAAAGAAACTCGATTAGTTTGGTGTTTTTTAGACATCAAACATTTTGTAGGTTGGATAATTTTGCTGTTACACCCGGTATATCCCTTAATTCTTTATATGAAGAAATAAAAAGGACGTTGAAAGCGTTTTTTTTATCTGTATGCAAAACAGCTAAGTTCAAAACACTGTAAAACATCAGGGATCGATATTACTTCCTTTCCCCGTGTTGTTCCCTTCAGTCTTTCGTTTTGTTTCCTCAAGGCTTCATCTTTGCTTCCTTTAGACTTCATCGTTGCTTCCTTTAGACTTCCACGTTATTTCATTCATAATTCAACGTTACTTTCATAAGGTTTCTTCGTTGCTTCCATAAGGCCCCACTCTCTTCCTTATGACTTCATCGCTGCTTCCTTTAGACTTCATCATGGCTTCTTTTAGACTTCTACATTGGTTTATTCAGAATTTAAAGTTACTTAAATTTAAAGAATTTCTCTTTACTTCCTTCAGACTTCATCGTTGTTTCCATAAGGCCCCAATTGCTTCCATCAAATTTCCTCGTTGCTTCCTTTAGACTTCCTCATTGATTCTTTTGAACTTCCACGTTGTTTCATTCACAATCCAACGTTATTTTCATAAGGCTTCCTCGTTACTGATGTAATGAATATGCATACACCTGATTTCCACCTCGCAGTAATATGATTGGCTGGTATCAGCCATAAATACAGACTGATGTGGAGGTACAGGGACACTTATTGCTACGCCTATTGTCTTCGTCTAATGCCTACGTCTCTTGCCTACCACTACGACGATTACCTGCTACATTGTCCTACTCGGTTACAGTAGTCCAAAACCACTTTGCTACTTCGAGCAAATATATCCCTTTCCGGGACATATCAGTTACTTCAGACTTCATCGTTGCTTCCATAAGGCTCCACTTGCTTCCTTAAGACTTTCTTGTTGGTCCCTTTAGACTGCATCGTTGCCTCGATATTATAAACATGACTCCTTCTAAAGGAATAAAAATCAATATTTTTTCTATTTTGACAAATGTCACCACTTGAGGATGATCTAATGAATACTAATCTAGAAAAATATTTTTACGAGTGGACCAGTCAACTTAAGTAGTGCCCTTGGTCTATATGAACGTGTATGGAAACACAACGTTGAACTAACTATATGTCACATCATATTCAGTCACTGTAGATGAGGAGTATAGTTAAATACCGACTTACCACCTTCAGACTATTGTTTTAGAATTCGGATAAAGCTGCTTCTGAAGTACTGTCACGACGTCCTATATGGTTAGGTTTGTTGTTCTGTAATGGGCCGAGACATCTACGTCACAACGTTAGTTTTCATTGCCTTTCTTCAGACCAATATACCAAAGTTGGATTGTCTTTTAACAAATCAAACGAAAAAAGATCATGTTCTCTATTTATGTGTATTTTGTGCTAAAACAGCATTTTTTCAATTGTTTATATGTTTGTTCGCGACGGGGAATAAAGCAGCGAGGAAGTCTGAAGGCATGAACGAAGAAGTCTAAAGGAAGCAACAAGAGTGTCTAAAGGAAGCAACAAGACTGTCTAAAGGAAGCAACAAAGAAATCTATAGGAAGCAACGAGGAAGTCTAAATGAAGCAACGAGAAAGCCTTATGCAATTAATAAGGAATTCTGAATGAACCACCGAGGAAGTGGGTAAGAAGCAAGTGGAGCCCTATGGAAGCAACGAGGAAAGGAGGCAACGTGGAAGCCTCATGGAAGCAACAAGAAATTCTGATGAAAGCAACGAGGAAGTTGGAAGGAAGAAACGAGAAAGCCTTATGGAAATAACGTTGAAATCAGAATGTAGCAACATGGAAGTCTAAAGGAAGCAACGGGGAAATATGGTGGAAGCAAGTGGTGCAAGCAACGAAGAAGTCTGAAGAAAGTAACGAGAAATCCTTATGAAAGTAACTTTAAATGCTAAATAAAGAAACGTAGAAGTCTTAAATGAAGCCCTGAGGAAGTGTAAAAGAAGCAACAAGGAAGTCTAAAGGAAGCAAATAGGAAGTTTAAAGGAAGTAACAAAGAAGTCTAAAGGAAGTAACAAGGAAGTATAAAGGAAGCAATGAGGAAGTCTAAAGGAAGTAACAAGGAAGTCTAAAGGAAGTAATGAGGCAGTTTAAAGGAAGTAACAAGGATGTCTAAAGGAAGTAATAAGAAACTCTAAAGGAAGCAACGAGGAAGTCTAAAAAGAAGAAAGAATTCTAAAGGAAGTAACAAGGAAGTCTAAAGGAAGTAATGAGGAAGTCTAAAGGAAGTAACAAGGAGTCTAAAGGATGTGTAAAGAAAGCAATGAGGAAGTCTAATGGAAGTAAGAAGGAAGTCTAAAGGAAGTAACAAAGAAGTCTAAAGGAAGTAATAAGGAATTCTAAAGGAAGCAACGAGGAAGTCTAAAGGAAGCAATGAGCAAGTCTAAAAAAAGTAACAAGGAAGTCTAAAGGAAATAACAAGGAAGTGTAAAGGCAGTAACAATGGAATCTAAAGGAAGTAACAAGGACGTCTAAAGGAAGTAACGAGGAAGTCTAAAGGAAGTAACAAGGAAGTCTAAAGGAAGTAACAAGGAAGTCTAAAGGAAGTAACAAGGAAGTCTAAAGGAAGTAATGAGGAAGTCTTAAGGAAGTAATGAGGAAGTCTAAAGTAAGTAACAAGGAAGTCTAAAGGAAGTAACAAGGAAGTCTAAAGGAAGCAACGAGGAAGTCTAAAGGAAGTAACAAGGAAGTCTAAAGGAACTCTAAAGGAAGCAATGAGGAAGTCTAAAGGACGCAACAAGGAAGTCTAAAGGAAGTAACAAGGAAGTCTAAAGAAAGTAATAAGAAACTCTAAAGGAAGCAATGAGGAAGTCTAAAGGAAGTAACAAGGAAGTGTAAAGGAAGTAACAAGGGAATCTAAAGGAAGTAACAAGGACGTCTAAAGGAAGTAATGAGGAAGTCTAAAGAAAGTAACAAGGAAGTGCAAAGAAAGCAATGAGGACGTCTAAAGGAAGTAATGAGGAAGTCTAATGGAAATAACAAGGTAGTCTAAAGGAATTAACGAGGAAGTCTAAAGAAAACAATGAGAAAGCTTTATGTAATTAACGAGGAAGTACGAAGGAAACCTTGAGGAAACAAAAAGCAAGACTGAAGTGGTCAATGAGGAAAGGGAACAATGAGGAAAGGAAGCAACGTGGAAGCCTTATGAAAGCAACAAGAAAATCTGATGAAAGAAACATGGAAGTCTACAGGAAAATGGAAACAAACATGACACTTGACTCAGAAACAAAAAGAAACTGTTGAAATTTCCTGAATACACAATGAGGAAGGATGGCTTACAAAATTTGACACTCACAAGACATATTCAGGATAAAAGTGGCAGAGGTGGGGGTGCAGCGTATCTTTTCCCTGGTGGGCATCTGTGAATGGATGGCAAAAAGGGGAGGGAGAGGTATGGTAAAAATGCAAGCATTACTAAGTACTACAAAGGATAGGAAGTGGCGGAGTGCCGTGACTGTCTATGTCCTGAATGGACACGGCACATGGAAGAAGGATATGTTGCTAATTAGGCCGAAATGACTCTATTTTTATCGTGTCCCAATTAGCCGGAATTTATTGTATTTTGTAAAAACCAGTTGGATTCCACGGTCGTTTTACTATGAAAATCATTCGCGTGGTCTACGAGTTTCTTTGTCTCTCTGAGACTCCGCACCCCACGCGCCACACCAGCCCGACCCTGGCCCGCTGTTAGGCACTCCTCTTGTGTCCAGGTGCGGAAGAAGTTTTTTTTTTTAATTTTCTCGGCTCGCACCAGACCGGTCGAGACATGTATGAAGTCGTCTATGTGTATGTGTGTATATGTCTCTGTGTGTGTGTATGTGTGTGTGTGTGTGTCACTCCTATAAAAAAAATCATGAAGCAAAAAATTGCGTACACCGTGTAAATAAATATGCAAATCAAATTTAAATATTACAGTTCATTGCCTCTTTTTTTTTTTTTAGTCCGACACCACATTTCAACGGTCGCTGTCGTTGAAGATTGGCCCAGGGCAATGTCACTACATCTCCATAGCAGTTACGAAAAGTAAAAGTGCAAAGGTCAGTATCTGTTTTTATCACTTTTAATTGCGATTTTGCCAAGTAGGCTGTAGAGAATTAAGTCCCGCCTCTCGCTTTTGGAAATAACAGGAAATAGTCTCAAGTCTAGATTTTGAGCCTTCAAAAAATGAGAAGGAACAACTTAAAATTATTTTCCTTTTTATTTTATCGATATATCACGGCAAAGTTACTTTTATGAAGAAAACATTATAACTTTTATTCCTACTGAACATTTTTTTAATTTTTTTTCTCTCTCCTCATATGTTTAAACGATTCGGTAGAACTATTCTCCGGTCTTCTACAAGAGGCTTTTGTCTTTTGAAGTATTTTTTGTTATGTTTATGATTCGGTATGTAATAACCGTACCCATCGACATTGTTTAAAAGAAGAAAAAAAAGAAAGAAAATTTTATCTTCAGCACACTTATTCCTCTCCTACAAATTTATTTACATAGAAGTAAGCCAGATTCTAGGTTAACTCTACTCACTCCACAGGTTTTTCCAAGCCGCTTATTCCAACGGCCATCTTTAGATTTAAAAAAAAAAAAACATCCACATCCCATATTCTAAATCCACCATTTAGTCAAATAACCTGCACATTTCAGACCCACGCTTATTAAATTTTGAAAACAAATGTCCAACCTCCGCTTATACCAACCCTTTTCATTCCACCTATTTTTAGATTTTCCCTCCAACCCCATTCCAATTATTTATTAGATTTTCAAGACCTTCCTACCCCAACCCCTATTGCAATCCAACCACCTATTCCAACCGTTTTTCATTCCACCCCGTTTACTAGATTTTCAAAAACTCTCCCCACCCCCCAACCCTTATTGTTTAATCCCACCACCTATTCCAACCCACCACCTATTCATTCCACCCCCAGTTTATTAGATTTTCAAAAACTCTCCAACCCCCATCCTTATTGCAATCCCAACACCTATTCCAACCCTTTTTCATTCCACCCCGTTTATTAGATTTTCAAAAAAATTCCAACCCCCACCCTTATTGCAATCCCACCACCTATTCCAACACTTTTTTCATTCCACCCCGTTTATTAGATTTTCAAAACTCTCCAACCCCCATCCTTATTGCAATCCCACCACCTATTCCAACCTTTTTCATTCCACCCCGTTTATTAGATTTTCAAAAACCCCCCATCCTCCAACCCCCATCCTTATTGCAATCCCCACCACCCTATTCCAACCCTTTTCATTCCACCCCGTTTATTAGATTTTCAAAAAATCCCACCAATCCAACCCCCATCCTTATTGCAATCCCACCACCTATTCCAACCCCACCCTTTTTTAGATTTTCATTCCAACCCCCATCCTTTATTAGATTTTTCAAAAAGATTTTCTCCAACCCCCATCCTTATTGCAATCCCACCACCTATTCCAACCCTTTTTCATTCCACCCCGTTTATTAGATTTTCAAAAACTCTCCAACCCCCACCCTTATTGCAATCCCACCACCTATTCCAACCCTTTTTCATTCCACCCCGTTTATTAGATTTTCAAAAACTCTCCAACCCCCATCCTTATTGCAATCCCACCACCTATTCCAACCCTTTTTCATTCCACCCCGTTTATTAGATTTTCAAAAACTCTCCAACCCCCACCCTTATTGCAATCCCACCACCTATTCCAACCCTTTTTTCATTCCACCCCGTTTATTAGATTTTCAAAAAACTCTCCAACCCCCATCCTTATTGCAATCCCACCACCTATTCCAACCCTTTTTCATTCAACCCCGTTTATTAGATTTTCAAAACTCTCCAACCCCCATCCTTATTGCAATCCCACCACCTATTCCAACCCTTTTTCATTCCACCCCGTTTATTAGATTTTCAAAAACTCTCCAACCCCCATCCTTATTGCAATCCCACCACCTATTCCAACCCTTTTTCATTCCACCCCGTTTATTAGATTTTCAAAAACCCCCAACCCCATCCTTTCCAACCCTTTTCATGCAAAAACTCCCAACCCCACCTATTGCATTAGATTTTCAACCCTTTTCATTCCACCCAGTTTATTAGATTTTCAAAAACTCTCAATCCCCATCCTTATTGCAATCCCACCACCTATTCCAACCCTTTTCATTCCACCCCGTTTATTAGATTTTCAAAACTCTCCAACCCCATCCTTATTGCAATCCCACCACCTATTCCAACCCTTTTTCATTCCACCCCGTTTATTAGATTTTCAAAAACCCTTTTCATTCTCCCCAACCCCATCCTTATTGCAATCCCACCACCTATTCCAACCCTTTTTCATTCCACCCAGTTTATTAGATTTTCAAAACTCTCCAACCCCCATTTTTGCAATCCCACCACCTATTCCAACCCCATTCCCCCCCGTTTATTAGATTTTTCAAAAACTCTCCAACCCCATCCTTATTGCAATCCCACCACCTATTCCAACCCGTTTTCATTCCACCCCGTTTATTAGATTTTCAAAAACTCCCCAACCCCCATCCTTATTGCAATCCCACCACCTATTCCAACCCTTTTTCATGCCACCCAGTTTATTAGATTTTCAAAAACTCTCCAATCCCCATCCTTATTGCAATCCCACCACCTATTCCAACCCTTTTCATTCCACCCCTGTTTATTAGATTTTCAAAAACTCTCCAACCCCATCCTTATTGCAATCCCACCACCTATTCCAACCCTTTTTTTTTCATTCCACCCCCATTTATTCCCAGATTCAACCCCCGTTTAGATTTTCAAAACTCTCAACCCCACCCTTATTGCAATCCCACCACCTATTCCAACCCTTTTTTCATTCCACCCCGTTTATTAGATTTTCAAAAACTCTCCAACCCCCATCCTTATTGCAATCCCACCACCTATTCCAACCCTTTTCATTCCACCCCGTTTATTAGATTTTCAAAAACTCTCCAACCCCCATCCTTTTTGCAATCCCACCACCTATTCCAACCCTTTTTCATTCCACCCCGTTTATTAGATTTTCAAAAACTCTCCAACCCCATCCTTATTGCAATCCCACCACCTATTCCAACCCTTTTTCATTCCACCCCGTTTATTAGATTTTCAAAAACTCTCCAACCCCATCCTTATTGCAATCCCACCACCTATTCCAACCCTTTTTCATTCCACCCCCAACCCCCATTAGATTTTCAAAAAAAACTCTCCAATCCCCCCACCACCATTCCAACCCTTTTCATTCCACCCTGTTCATTGCAAAAACTCTCCACCCCCATTATTCCAACCCTTTTTCATTCCACCCCGTTTATTAGATTTTCAAAAACTCTCCAATCCCCATCCTTATTGCAATCCCACCACCTATTCCAACCCTTTTTTCATTCAACCCCGTTTATTAGATTTTCAAAAACTCTCCAACCCCATCCTTATTGCAATCCCACCACCTATTCCAACCCTTTTTTCATTCCACCCCGTTTATTAGATTTTCAAAAACTCTCCAACCCCCATCCTTATTGCAATCCCACCACCTATTCCAACCCTTTTTTCCATTCCATGCCCGTTTATTAGATTTTCAAAAACTCTCCAACCCCCATCCTTATTGCAATCCCACCACCTATTCCAACCCTTTTTCATTCCACCCCGTTTATTAGATTTTCAAAAACTCTCCAACCCCATCCTTATTGCAATCCCACCACCTATTCCAACCCTTTTCATTCCACCCAGTTTATTAGATTTTCAAAACTCTCCAACCCCCATCCTTATTGCAATCCCACCACCTATTCCAACCCTTTTTCATTCCACCCCGTTTATTAGATTTTCAAAAACCCACCACCTCTCCAACCCCCAAAACTCTCCAAACCCCATATTTATTGCAATCCCACCACCTATTCCAACCCTTTTTCATTCCACCCCGTTTATTAGATTTTCAAAAACTCTCCAACCCCATCCTTATTGCAATCCCACCACCTATTCCAACCCTTTTTCATTCCACCCCGTTTATTAGATTTTCAAAAACTCTCCAACCCCCATCCTTATTGCAATCCCACCACCTATTCCACACCCTTTTTATTAGATTTTCAAAAACTCATTCCAATCCCGTTTATTAGATTTTCAAAAGATTTTCTCCAACCCCCATCCTTATTGCAATCCCACCACCTATTCCAACCCTTTTCATTCCACCCCGTTTATTAGATTTTCAAAACTTCCAACCCCCATCCTTATTGCAATCCCACCACCTATTCCAACCCTTTTTCATGCCACCCCGTTTATTAGATTTTCAAAAAACTCTCCAACCCCCATATTAGATTTTCAAAAACTCTCAACCCCCCAACCCCACCACCTATTCCATTTCATTTTCAAAACAACCCCCATCCTTATTAATCCCATTTTCAAAAACCCTCTCCAACCCCCATCCTATTCCAACCCCCTTTTTCACCACCTTTATTCCAACCCTTTTCATCCCACCCACCCGTTTATTAGATTTTCAAAAACTCTCCAACCCCCATCCTTAATGCAATCCCACCACCTATTCCAACCCTTTTTCATTCCACCCCGTTCATTAGATTTTCAAAAACTCTCCAACCCCCACACTTATTGCAATCCCACCACCTATTCCAACCCTTTTTCATTCAACCCCGTTTATTAGATTTTCAAAAACTCTCCAACCCCCATCCTTATTGCAATCCCACCACCTATTCCAACCCTTTTTTTTCGTCCACCCAGTTTATTAGATTTTCAAAAACTCTCCAACCCCCACCCTTATTGCAATCCCACCACCTATTCCAACCCTTTTTCATTCCACCCCGTTTATTAGATTTTCAAAAACTCTCCAACCCCCATCCTTATTGCAATCCCACCACCTATTCCAACCCGTTTTCATTCCACCCCGTTTATTAGATTTTCAAAACTCTCCAACCCCCATCCCTTTTCATTGTTTATTATTTTTCAAAAACTCCCACCACCTATTCCAACCCCTTTTTTTTCATTCCACCCCGTTTATTAGATTTTCAAAAACTCTCCAACCCCCATCCTTATTGCAATCCCACCACCTATTCCAACCCTTTTTTTTTCATTCCACCCCGTTTATTAGATTTTCAAAACTCTCCAACCCCCATCCTTATTGCAATCCCACCACCTATTCCAACCCTTTTTCATTCCACCCCCGTTTATTAGATTTTCAAAAACTCTCCAACCCCCATCCTTATTGCAATCCCACCACCTATTCCAACCCTTTTTTCATTCCACCCCTTTATTAGATTTTCAAAAACTCTCCAACCCCATCCTTATTCAACCCTTTTTTCATTCAAAAGATTTTCAAAACTCCCATCCCATCCTTGCAATCCCACCACCTATTCCAACCCTTTTTTCATTCCACCCAGTTTATTAGATTTTCAAAAAACTCTCCAACCCCCATCCTTTATTAGAATCCCACCACCTATTCCAACCCTTTTTCATTCCACCCGTTTATTAGATTTTCAAAAACTCTCCAACCCCATCCTTATTGCAATCCCACCACCTATTCCAACCCTTTTTCATTCCACCCAGTTTATTAGATTTTCAAAACCTCTCCAACCCCATCCTTATTTTCAATCCCACCACCTATTCCCACCCGTTTATTTTTTCATTCCAACCCCACCCTTTATTAGATTTTCAAAAAAACTCTCCAACCCCATCCTTATTGCAATCCCACCACCTATTCCAACCCTTTTCATTCCACCCCGTTTATTAGATTTTCAAAAACTCTCCAACCCCCATCCTTTTGCAATCCCACCACCTATTCCAACCCTTTTTCATTCCACCCCGTTTATTAGATTTTTTCAAAACTCCAACCCCCATCCTTATTGCAATCCCACCACCTATTCCAACCCTTTTTTCATTCCACCCCGTTTATTAGATTTTCAAAAACTCTCACCCCCCATCCTTTATTGCAAAAACCCACCACCTATTCCAACCCCACCTTTCATTTTTCATTCCCCCTGTTTATTAGATTTTCAAAAACTCTCCAACCCCCATCCTTATTGCAATCCCACCACCTATTCCAACCCTTTTTTCATTCCACCCCGTTTATTAGATTTTCAAAACTCTCCAACCCCCATCCTTATTGCAATCCCACCACCTATTCCAACCCTTTTTCATTCCACCCCGTTTATTAGATTTTCAAAAACTCTCCAACCCCCATCCTTATTGCAATCCCACCACCTATTCCAACCCTTTTTTCATTCCACCCCGTTTATTAGATTTTCAAAAAACTCTCCAACCCCCATCCTTTTGCAATCCCACCACCTATTCCAACCCTTTTTCATTCCACCCCGTTTATTAGATTTTCAAAAACTCTCCAACCCCATCCTTATTGCAATCCCACCACCTATTCCAACCCTTTTTTTCATTCCAACCCCCATCCTTATTGCAATCCCACCACCTTATTAGATTTTTAGAAAAACTCTCCAACCCCCATCCTTATTGCAATCCCACCACCTATTCCAACCCTTTTTCATTCCACCCCGTTTATTAGATTTTCAAAAACTCTCCAATTCCCCATCCTTATTGCAATCCCACCAATCCCACCACCTATTCCATTCCAACCCCCGTTTATTAGATTTTCATCTCCACCCCCCACCACCTTTTTTCATTCATTAGATTTTCAAAAACTCTCCAACCCCATCCCCCACCTATTTCAATCCTTTTCACCACCCGTATTCCAACCCCCATTTCATGCCACCCAGTTCCAACCCTTTTTCATTATTAGATTTTCAAAAACTCTCCAACCCCCATCCTTATTGCAATCCCACCACCTATTCCAACCCTTTTTCATTCCACCCCGTTTATTAGATTTTCAAAAACTCTCCAACCCCCACCCTTATTGCAATCCCACCACCTATTCCAACCCATTTTCATTCCACCCCGTTTATTAGATTTTCAAAAACTCTCCAACCCCCATCCTTATTGCAATCCCACTACCTATTCCAACCCTTTTTTCATTCCACCCCGTTTATTAGATTTTCAAAAACTCTCCAACCCCCATCCTTATTGCAATCCCACCACCTATTCCAACCCTTTTTCATTCCACCCCGTTTATTAGATTTTCAAAAACTCTCCAACCCCCATCCTTATTGCAATCCCACCACCTATTCCCTTTTTCATTCCAACCTCTCAACCCCCATCCTTTTTCATTCCACCACCTATTCCCCTTTTTCATTCCACCCCGTTATTAGATTTTCAAAAACTCTCCAACCCCCCAAACTCTCCAACCCCATCCTTATTGCAATCCCACCACCTATTCCAACCCTTTTCATTCCCCCCCAGTTTATTAGATTTTCAAAACTCTCCAACCCCATCCTTATTGCAATCCCACCACCTATTCCAACCCTTTTTCATTCCACCCCGTTTATTAGATTTTCAAAAAACTCTCCAACCCCCATCCTTATTGCAATCCCACCACCTATTCCAACCCTTTTTCATTCCACCCCGTTTATTAGATTTTCAAAACTCTCCAACCCCCATCCTTATTGCAATCCCACCACCTATTCCAACCCTTTTTTCATGCCACCCCGTTTATTAGATTTTCAAAAACTCTCCAACCCCATCCTTATTGCAATCCCACCACCTATTCCAACCCTTTTTCATTCCACCCCGTTTATTAGATTTTCAAAAACTCTCCAACCCCATCCTTATTGCAATCCCACCACCTATTCCTAACCCTTTTTCATTCCACCCCGTTTATTAGATTTTCAAAAAACTCCTTCCCCACCAACCCCCACCCCCGTTTATTAGATTTTCCTCTCCAACCCCATTTGCAATCCCCACCTATTCAACCCTTTTTATTAATTTTAAATTTTCCAAAACCCCATCCTTATTGCAATCCCACCACCTATTCCAACCCTTTTTCATGCCACCCAGTTTATTAGATTTTCAAAAACTCTCCAACCCCCATCCTTATTGCAATCCCACCACCTATTCCAACCCTTTTTCATTCCACCCCGTTTATTAGATTTTCAAAAACTCTCCAACCCCATCCTTATTGCAATCCCACCACCTATTCCAATCCTTTTTCACCACCTATTTATTAGATTTTCCCAACCCCCCAGTTTATTAGATTTTCAAAAACTCTCAACCCCATCCTTATTTCATTCCAACCCTTTTTCATTCCACCCAGTTTATTAGATTTTCAAAAACTCTCAACCCCCATCCTTATTGCAATCCCACCACCTATTCCAACCCTTTTTCATTCCACCCCCGTTTATTAGATTTTCAAAAACTCTCCAACCCCCATCCTTATTGCAATCCCACCACCTATTCCAACCCTTTTTCATTCCACCCCGTTTATTAGATTTTCAAAAACTCTCAACCCCCATCCTTATTGCAATCCCACCACCTATTCCAACCCTTTTTCATTCCACCCCGTTTATTAGATTTTCAAAAAACTCTCCAACCCCATCCTTATTGCAATCCCACCACCTATTCCAACCCTTTTTCATTCCACCCCGTTTATTAGATTTTCAAAAACTCTCCAACCCCCATCCTTATTGCAATCCCACCACCTATTCCAACCCTTTTTCATTCCACCCCGTTTATTAGATTTTCAAAAACTCTCCAACCCCCATCCTTATTGCAATCCCACCACCTATTCCAACCCTTTTTCATTCCACCCCGTTTATTAGATTTTCAAAAACTCTCCAACCCCCATCCTTATTGCAATCCCACCACCTATTCCAACCCTTTTTCATTCCACCCCGTTTATTAGATTTTCAAAAAACTCTCCAACCCCCATCCTTATTTATTGCAATCCCACCACCTATTCCAACCCTTTTTTTTTTCATTCCACCCCGTTTATTAGATTTTCAAAACTCTCAACCCCCATCCTTATTGCAATCCCACCACCTATTCCAACCCTTTTTCATTCCACCCCGTTTATTAGATTTTCAAAACTCTCCAACCCCATCCTTATTGCAATCCCACCACCTATTCCAACCCTTTTTCATTCCACCCCCGTTTATTAGATTTTCAAAACTCTCCAACCCCATCCTTATTGCAATCCCACCACCTATTCCAACCCTTTTTTCATTCCACCCCGTTTATTAGATTTTCAAAAACTCTCCAACCCCTCCTTCCAATCCCACCACCTATTCCAACCCTTTTCATGCCACCCAGTTTATTAGATTTTCAAAACTCTCCAACCCCATCCTTATTGCAATCCCACCACCTATTCCAACCCTTTTTCATTCCACCCCGTTTATTAGATTTTCAAAAAACTCTCCAACCCCCATCCTTATTGCAATCCCACCACCTATTCCAACCCTTTTTCACCACCACCCTTTTCATGTTTATTAGATTTTCAAAAACTCTCAACCCCCATCCTTCCTTGTTGCAATCCCACCCACCTATTCCAACCCTTTTTCATTCCACCCCGTTTATTAGATTTTCAAAAAACTCTCCAACCCCCATCCTTATTGCAATCCCACCACCTATTCCAACCCTTTTTTCATTCCACCCCGTTTATTAGATTTTCAAAAACTCTCCAACCCCATCCTTATTGCAATCCCACCACCTATTCCAACCCTTTTTCATTCCACCCCGTTTATTAGATTTTCAAAAACTCTCCAACCCCATCCTTATTGCAATCCCACCACCTATTCCAACCCTTTTTCATTCCACCCCGTTTATTAGATTTTCAAAACTCTCCAACCCCCATCCTTATTGCAATCCCACCACCTATTCCAACCCTTTTTCATTCCACCCAGTTTATTAGATTTTCAAAACTCTCCAACCCCCATCCTTATTGCAATCCCACCACCTATTCCAACCCTTTTTTCATTTATTAGATTTTCCACCCAGTTTATTAGATTTTCAAAAAACTCTCCAACCCCCATCCTTATTGCAATCCCACCACCTATTCCAACCCTTTTTTCATTCCACCCAGTTTATTAGATTTTCAAAAACTCTCCAACCCCCATCCTTATTGCAATCCCACCACCTATTCCAACCCTTTTTCATTCCACCCCAACCCCCATCCTATTGTTTATTAGATTTTTAAAAACTCTCCAACCCCCATCCTTATTGCAATCCCACCACCTATTCCAACCCTTTTTCATTCCACCCCGTTTATTAGATTTTCAAAAACTCTCCAAAAACTCCCCCCCACCCAACCCTTTTTCATTCCAACCCCGTTTATTAGATTTTCAAAACTCCCAACCCCATCCTTATTCCCCACCACCTATTCCAACCCTTTTTTCATTCAACCCCGTTTATTAGATTTTCAAAAACTCTCCAACCCCCATCCTTTTCATGCTTATTGCAATCCCACCACCTATTCCAACCCTTTTTCATTCCACCCAGTTTATTAGATTTTCAAAAACTTCCTTATTGCAATCCCACCACCTATTCCAACCCTTTTTCATTCCACCCCAACTCTCCAGTTTATTAGATTTTCAAAACTCTCCAACCCCCATCCTTATTGCAATCCCACCACCTATTCCAACCCTTTTTTCATTCCACCCCGTTTATTAGATTTTCAAAAAACTCCAACCCCCATCCTTATTGCAATCCCACCACCTATTCCAACCCTTTTTCATTCCACCCCTGTTTATTAGATTTTTTTCAAACCCCATCTTTCAAAATTCCAACCCTTTTCATTTTTCAACCCCTCTCCAACCCCCCCATCCTTATTGCAATCCCACCACCTATTCCAACCCTTTTTCATTCCATTCCACTCCAACCCCCATCCTTATTGCAATCCCACCACCTATTCCAACCCTTTTCATTCCACCCCGTTTATTAGATTTTCAAAAACTCTCCAACCCCCATCCTTATTGCAATCCCACCACCTATTCCAACCCTTTTTTTCATTCCACCCCGTTTATTAGATTTTCAAAACTCTCCATCCTTATTGCAATCCCCATCCTTTTTCATTCCCATTGATTTCAAAACTCTCAATCCCCACCACCTATTCCAACCTTTTCATTCCACCCCGTTTATTAGATTTTCAAAACTCTCAACCCCATCCTTATTGCAATCCCACCACCTATTCCAACCCTTTTTTTTCATTCCACCCCGTTTATTAGATTTTCAAAAACTCTCCAACCCCCCATCCTTATTGCAATCCCACCACCTATTCCAACCCTTTTTTCATTCCACCCCGTTTATTAGATTTTCAAAAACTCTCCAACCCCCATCCTTATTGCAATCCCACCACCTATTCCAACCCTTTTTCATTCCACCCCCATCCTTATTTAGATTTTTTTCAAAAACTCTCCAACCCCCATCCTTATTGCAATCCCACCACCTATTCCAACCCTTTTTTCATTCCACCCAGTTTATTAGATTTTCAAAAACTCTCAACCCCCATCCTTATTGCAATCCCACCACCTATTCCAACCCTTTTTCATTCCACCCCCCGTTTATTAGATTTTCAAAACTCTCCAACCCCCATCCTTATTGCAATCCCACCACCTATTCCAACCCTTTTTCATTCCACCCAGTTTATTAGATTTTCAAAACTCTCCAACCCCCATCCTTATTGCAATCCCACCTTTCAACCCTTTTCATTCCACCCCTGTTTATTAGATTTTCAAAAACTCTCCAACCCCATCCTTATTGCAATCCCACCACCTATTCCAACCCTTTTTCATTCCACCCCGTTTATTAGATTTTCAAAAACTCTCCAACCCCCATCCTTTTGCAATCCCACCACCTATTCCAACCCTTTTTCATTCCACCCCGTTTATTAGATTTTTCAAAACTCTCCAACCCCCATCCTTATTGCAATCCCACCACCTATTCCAACCCTTTTTCATTCCACCCCGTTTATTAGATTTTCAAAAACTCTCCAACCCCCATCCTTATTGCAATCCCACCACCTATTCCAACCCTTTTTCATTCCACCCCGTTTATTAGATTTTCAAAAACTCTCCAACCCCCATCCTTATTGCAATCCCACCACCTATTCCAACCCTTTTTCATTCCACCCCGTTTATTAGATTTTCAAAAACTCTCCAACCCCCATCCTTATTGCAATCCCACCACCTATTCCAACCCTTTTTCATTCCACCCCGTTTATTAGATTTTCAAAAACTCTCAACCCCCATTCCAACCCTTTTGCAATCCCACCCCACCTATTCCAACCCACCACCTTTTTTTTCATTCCACCCCGTTTATTAGATTTTCAAAAACTCTCAACCCCCAATTGCAATCCCACCACCCCAACCCTTTTCATTCCACCCCGTTTATTAGATTTTCAAAAACTCTCCAATCCCCACCTATTCAATCCCACCACCTATTCCAACCTTTTCATTCCACCCCGTTTATTAGATTTTCAAAAACTCTCCAATCCCCATCCTTATTGCAATCCCACCACCTATTCCAACCCCATTTTTCCCACCACCTATTCCAACCCTTTTTCATTCCACCCCCGTTTATTAGATTTTCAAAACTCTCCAACCCCCATCCTTTTTGCAATCCCACCACCTATTCCAACCCTTTTCATTCCACCCCGTTTATTAGATTTTCAAAAACTCTCCAATCCCCATCCTTTTTGCAATCCCACCACCTATTCCAACCCTTTTCATTCCACCCCGTTTATTAGATTTTCAAAACTCTCCAATCCCCATTTTTGCAATCCCAACACCTATTCCAACCCTTTTTCATTCCACCCCGTTTATTAGATTTTCAAAACTCTCCAACCCCCACCCTTATTGCAATCC